CTCTGGAAAATAAACTGGTTTCGTTTTGTTGATTTTCGGTGAAAAGTGCGTCCTTCCAAACTAGCATTTCTTTGTTTCACAAGATTTGAAACTGAGTTTCTGGAATCGTCAAAAAGATTACCCGAATAGTCAGCATAAAACCCACTCCTCCCTCGAAGCATCTCTCTATACAATTACCACAATAAAAACCCAGGCTGGAGCGCACCAGGTGAGTCAGTGCGATCATGCGTTTTTGCAATGTTTCGAGCTGTAGCAAGATCGCAAGGAATCACAGTAGCTAGAATTTGTGACATACGAGTCCCCGAGTTACAGGAAGTTAACTGTGCAGCTATGTGGCATGTCATTTTTAGATGCCTGCTTCAGTGACCCGACAAGTGGAAGGTTGCAGTTGAATTTGAAATCTTTTAGTCGGACATGAGCAGGGAACATTCCCTGAAAATTTCAACCTTCCAGCTTTTCTCGTTGTCGAGTTAGCAATCTTCCCGCCAAAACCTTCATGTGCCCCTCCCTACGTGAGAGGCAAGCGTTTTTGTGAAGCCGAATTTAAGGTTTTTGGTCGCACATGAGCAGGGAACATCCTCTTAAAGTTTCAGATTTCTAGCGTTTCTAGTTGCCGAGCTAAAAATTTTTACGCCAAATCTTTCACGGTCCGTACGTAAGATGTAGAAATGGGTGACAGTTGATCATGGTTTTGTGGTAGCACTTGGCCGGAGAACACACTGGCAAAATTTTAGTATCAAAGCCTGCGTGGTTAGCGAATAGAAATACCCGGGTAAATGGAAACACACACAAGCAACATACAGGGTTGTCGCAACGTGCGTTTTTGCTGCCTATTGCAGCGCTGTAGCGCTGCATGGCAAAAACGCATAACTGCACATGTAACAATGATATGGAATTAGGATTGCAACGAATAAGTGGAATGTTATGGCATAAATGAATATTTACTACATCACTGTGAAGGCATTCCGGAAGAGCGCAGCGCAAACTGCCGCGTCTCACATGATGATGTCCGGCTCGGGAACGTTCGTCGTAATTGCTTTATGTGGCAGAACCCTCGCCCCATTCAGATAGAGCTCATCATTTACAACGACATCGTCCCCAATGACACATGTATTTTCAATACGTACCCATTTACCGATCGAACACTGCAAAATTTCAACCGCTAGTAGAATATTCACCTGAGAGTGCAGCTGGCTTGAGGTGGAAAAGTTACAACTTCGTTTTGTGTCACGCAGCACCAAAATTGCTCGTGCAAAGAGAAGAAAGCAAAAAAAAAAAAAACAATAAACCAGAAGTTTTAAGTATATATGCGCGAAACTTCGCCAACGAGGT